AGGTTGCCAACATATGCCCACCTGTTGCTGAAAATATTAGTTTTCTAAACCATTTTGCCGTAAGTTTTGTGCAACATGGCAGTGGCAGCACTCTCCCCCTGATGAGTAAGTGAGTGACTTATATTTTCCAGGGGAAGTGGTATAAAAATATATTGGAATAAAGCTGTTCAGAAAGAAGTTGACACTAAAATACTTCAATATCAATATAAATTTTTGTTTTTATCTGTCAATGCATAGATTAACCCTACTGTACTACCACATTGTATAATCACTTATGTAATTTTACAAATTAAATAGTTTGACTAATTAATCAAGTTATTTTTCTACAGCTTGAAATGTATTTATAATGTGCACTGTAGCAGCTAACAAGATGATTGATTTTAGAAAGTTAAAGCTAGCGAACTGTAAAATAGGAAAATATAAACTTGGCCGATCATCTAGATGTTAGTAGGAAGGGTTGTGTAAATCTACATAATAATATCAATTTATTACAAAACCTAAACTGTATTTGTGGTGTTTTAAGGATCACAGGTCAAACTTGACCATACCAATTGATGACGTCGGGACTGTGCAAGAGCCAACAGCTGCAACAGAATTCCATCAACTTTCTGAAGACCCATTACTAGACATCGTGCAAAAAGTCTTTCATCATGAAAGTTTTAGGGGTATGCAAAGAAAAGTAGTGGATCAAATATTAGAGAATAATGATACTGTGTCAATTATGCCAACAGGAGCAGGAAAATCTATGTGTTACTGGATTCCGGGCCTAGCAACCATGGGAGTTACAGTCGTTATCACACCATTGGTGGCATTACTCAATGACCAAGTTGCCAAATTGAGGAACTATGGAGTCAGTGTATGTTACATCACTTCCTCTATGTTACCAGAAGAAAGAGACATGATATTCCACAAACTGACTAAAGAAGCTCCATGTTTTAAATTATTTTACCTAACACCAGAATCTGCTCTTTCACCACAGGTTACAGCATGTTTTCAGCAAATGGCAGCAAACAAGTCACTGTCTCGGTTTGTTATCGATGAAGCCCACTGCATAGACACTTGGGGACAAACCTTCAGACCATCATATGGTTGTCTTTCTAAGCTCAAGCAGTTTGGCCAGCCCATTGCAGCATTCACTGGAACTGCTACAGCCCAAACTCAACAAAGGATTGTTGAAAAATTGGGGTTGGTGGAACCAGTCATCCTTCAATGTACATGTAATCGGCCTAACTTATTTTACAAGGTCATGCCAAAAAGTGGGCCACATTCAAAAGAAGAGCTGGTTTGTTATGTACAGGATAACTTTTGTAACTTGTGTGGTATTGTGTATTGTTTCAGTACAAAAGACACAGTTGAATTGGCCTACATCTTCAAAGCAAAGGGATTGTCTGCAGTCTATTATCATGGTCAACTTGATTTTTTCGAGAAAAGTGATAATGCTAAAGCTTGGCTGTCAGGCAAAGCACTAATCATGTGTGCCACTAGTGCATTTGGTATGGGCATCGACAAATCCGATGTTCGTTTTGTTATTCACCTCAGCCTACCAAAAACACTTGAGGAGTACTATCAAGAAGCAGGAAGAGCTGGGCGGGATGGCCAAAACTCCCAATGTGTTCTGATGTTTCGGTTTGAGGATAGGAGTAAGTTGGTTCAGCTGATTGCTTCCTCAGAATCAGATGAACACAGGGAGTACTTACAATATTCATTGGATGCAGTCGTCTCGTACTGTATGTCTTTGTTATGTAGAAGAAAGTTGATTTTGGAGTATTTTGATGAAAACTCAACAGTTGACTGTGAAGGAAGTTGCGACAACTGTTTGAAACCACCACCAGTTCCTAAGGAGTACACCACTGAAGCCATTAATGTGTGCCTTTGTGTCGAAGAAATGTGTAAAATCAATGCAAAGATTAATGCGAGACAACTGGCACTAACATTCAAAGGTTCCAAATCGAAACAATATGTAGAAAGCAAAGGTTTTCATAGCATTCCTCATTATGGCATAGGCCAAAATATATTTAAGAATGATGGAGATGCCATAAAATTTGTACAGCATTTGATAATCAATGGCGTTTTGGCTGAGAATATTCGAGGTGCAGTTGACAGGTTTACAACACCATTCATCACTCTTGGGAAAAAGGCTGCTTCATTAAGAAACAAGGAAATTAATATTTTCCTCAGACTCTAGCAAACTATTATGACTCAGTTACAGGCAATTCCAGCTTTTAGTTTATGTGTGCAGGGGACGATTGGAAGTACTGTAAGGTATCACATTGCTGACTATGCTGAAAAAATAAAAATGGTGGCCATGCCATTTAAACACGGAGTGATAGCTTATACTAGTCTTGTGAATATTGAAATGTTTCGGTAGTTTTTATTGAAATTTTTCAGCATAATCAGCAATATGATACCTTACTTCCCATCATCCCCTGCAAGCATAAACTAAAAGCTGGAATTGTCTATTGTTTTGAAATGTGCAGAATAAGAATATTGATTGTTGTTTATATCAACAACTTTATTTTAGTCGGTTGTTCTTTGATCCGATTATCGTTTGACCTCTGCATTTAAATGCACAGTTCAGCCTTTTGAATGATGGTTTTTAAGGCACATTAAAAAATGTTGAAAAAATGTTAATTAAAAACATTGAAATCGCTGATCTTCAATTATTCTTAATTGATTTTCCTAGTTAGTTTTTCATTTAAAATGGCTGTAATGCGCCTTAAAAACCATCACTCGAAAGGCTTAACTGTGCATTTAAGGTTGTGTTCTGTCAAAACTCAAAACCTATACCTCTAAGCTTGAATAGAACAAGACACTCGATTTAGTTTAGACTTACAGTAGTAACTCAAATCCCATTTAAAATAATTAGAAAAACAACAAATAAATTTAGCCCGCCTGCATATGGGTAGTAGATAAAATATCTCATTGCAGTTGGGCTTTTCTCTATGGAGTTAGAGGTTTGTGGTCTTGAGTTTCTACCTTTGAACAAAGGACAAACGTCAATAAATTAGCTATATACTGTACATATACTAGAATAACATTTGATAACCTTACATTATATCACTACACCCAATATATAAGTCCTGCATGGGGATACAATAAATCCAGGGACGCCGGAGCGAGGGTAGGGCACAGGGGGGCAATGTTGACATAAGGGCAATCACTAATTAATATTTTGTTTCCGAAAATTTTTTCCGGGACCTTGATTCACCAAAGGGCAAAAATTTTGAAAACATAATTTTTGACACAATATTCCAGAAAATTTCATGTATATTTCAATATTACGTACATTTCACCCGTAATTCATACTTTTTAATCGTTGTACCTCATATTTTTTGGGTTAGAATTTTTATCTATCAGGGCACTTTTGCCCCCCCCTGCCCCCCTTACTAAAGGGCAAGGGGGGCGATGCCCCCCCTTTCCGGCGTCCCTGAATAACTGAATACGAAATATATTTACAAACCATCGGACAATTCCTCATTGTCCTCTTCTTGTTCCAGCACACTTTCCAGCGAGGTTAATCAAAACAAAGGAAAACTTTCGTGAAGCTTTTCCTTTAGTTTGTCCTTCACTTTCTTTTCACCTTTCGAAATAACTGCGATGAAACACTTTCACACTTTTTTTTGGCACCTCATTTGTTCTTCATAGGGGCAACTCAAGAGGAATATTTCCCTGTGACACCAATTGATCTTGTAATAATTTGTTACGAATACAAAACCACATCCCTTTTATCACATTTGGTAAGGCGCTCTGTGTCTTGTGCTTAGTTGTTTGGTGGTAATTAAATGAGTTGGGTTGGGAATAGATACTCCGAACAGATCCGAGCAAATTGAGGTTGCCCATAAGTCGTTTACACATTTGAACTGATGTGTGACCTACATGTTTAAAAAAGATAAAAACGACATTGTCATTCTCAAAACGACATTGTCATATTCAAACCTCTCAAAATTTCGGAAAAATTCATTGAATACGCTATTAACAATTAATAAGGTAACCATAAAAGGTTGAATTACAAGTATTGCCAATTTTAGTTCTAAAAGATCTCACGACTTGTCAGGAAGATGTGTTCATAACAGCTAGACTTGTAGCAATATTGTCAACAAGTTGTAAGAATGTTGTTATTTTGTCCAGTTCCTACAAGGTTGTAACTAACAACTTGTTAACAAGTTGTTGAATTGCAGGAGGATGACAAATTGTTGGTGCAACCTTAATTGTAACAATAATTCAACAACCTTGTAGCAAACTGGGAATAACCAGTGCAGAAAATATATCCTGGTTGACATATTGTTGAAAGAGCATTAGGGAGCTTTAGATTCCACTATGAGAACGAGCACGTACAACGAGATTTTGCAGTTAAAACAGCTATACTGCAAACCCGTAGTCTTCCTGTTTTTGACACAACACATCTTGAAAACTACAGTTGACGCGAAGACGAAAACAAGTGTGTACTGCAGGAGAGAACTTAAGACATCAAAATACTGTTGTCGTACTCGTAGTCAAATCTAAAGCTTTCTATTGCTACAAGTCGAAGGCAGGTTTGTCACGAGTTTTCACATGTGTAATAGGAAGTTCCTAACATTTTCACTCCTGAAAAAAACAATAATCACACATACTTTAGTAGTCACACTGATGCCAGACGATTATACATGGGTTATAAGTCCATTACCACCGTCACATAAGTGTCATATCAAGGCCAAGGGGTTTCAATAGTTCAATTATGTAAAAACCAACTGAAATCCCTGTTTATGCAACAAAAAACAATTTGAAATTCACGTACCTGTTGAATATGTTTTCAAAGGTCTAACAACATATGATTCCACGTATTCATCCATATCTACATTGTGGCCACGCTTTCCACTAAGGTTTACCGTAGAATTTTTCTTTACCATGCATCTAAATGCCAGTGGCCATAGGGAAGTAAAGTTAACTACGTGGACAAATGCTTCAGTCCAGTAATTCCGAAAGCCTAGTTGCGCAAATATTGGTAGTAGAAGCACCCATGAAGTTTCACGGAGAAGTCCGTCGCCTTCTTTTCCTGCAGTTATGAACAGATCCAACAAGGGACCAAATACACAAAATTGTTGATGGTATTTATGACTCTTGTCACATGCTCTACACCATTTTAACCACAGCTTAAACCTTTCCAGTAAAATCTTATTATGATTTCCATATCTGCGTAAATTTGTCTTCAAATCATCCTCTGATGGAAATTCATTTGAGGCTCTGAACTCATGAACAGCAGAGATTCCATAGGCACAACTTCCATCCCTAACTGCTTCTTGAATATGTTGAAGGTTTTGCTCCTGGAACTTTCTCTTCTTGAAAGCTTCCTCAGTTAGCTTAGGCCGTTTCATTACATCATTGACCATTTTGTGAAAACTGCACCCTTGCCATGTGCTTTAAATGTAGCTTCACACAAATGACCTTTGGCATGCATGTCGCCTGGTATTTTGGTGGACCAACCGTACGCTGTGCTGTTTCTGTTTTTCACACTTCTGTTTATTTTGCATGTTCCAACGTCACCCACAATTCCAGTTGGAAATCCTTGGTAAACGGATCTTTTATACACAAAATCAGTTGCAGTTTGTGAACTCTTTTCACAATCAAAACTTTCAGCAGGGTCATTGGTTGATTGAGTTGGTGTAGAATAGCAGTTGTCACTCTGAAGAACAGACATCAATGGGTTTTCATTTACCTTGCTATATTCATTAAATAAGTCAACAATATCTGTTAATTCCATGGCAGCAGCCATTTCAATCGGGCTTGGGAACACACCAAAAATTGGACCGCTATACTCCGCAAAATTTTCCAAGAGAAGTTTGCACATATTAATGTCTGCATTCATCACTGCTATAGACAAAGGAGTAGCTCCACAACCTTCCTTGCAATTTGGATTTGTTCCAACAGTCAGTAATATCTTTGCCAACACATAGTTTTTTACCTCAACTGCATAATGAAAAATAGTTCTATCATATCTATCTCTTGTGGAATTAATTACTCTAATTTCATTTGTCAGCCGCTGTACAAGGTTGTCAATTGAAAAATCAGAGTGAGCAAATTCACGAACTTGTTTTGTGATTCTATTACAGAGTTCCGCAAACTTCTCATCCTTTTGCTGTTGAGGAGTTTTCGTTTTGACAGATTTTGGCACGCGAGTTTCTCCATCTTCACTATTATCTGATTCACTGTCCGAACTACTTACATTATCAGTAGTAAATCCATCCAACTCTTTTTCATTGCTCATAATCTGCTTTTCCATTTCTAGCATTTGTGTGTGATGCATGTCAACGGATCTCATAAAGTCAAACTGCGTTCAGGCAGCTTTGAGGTTGAATTTTTTTTCAGACTTGTTGAAAGGAATTTCATTATTTTTTGGGCAAGGAAAAGAAAATAGAAAACTCTTCAAATATTGAAGCTGTACCATTCAATGTAGAATTATCCTCCAATGACAATGGAAGGTTGATTACATCTGTTTTTGTGGTTTGACTATTTTTGCAAAGCTCTTGCTTTGTGGGAACTGTTACCTTGAATTTTCTCTCATTACCATCTTCAAGTTTTGCAAAGTCTACTTTAGAGAGCCAGGAATTCAACTCGGCTTCTTCCATTTCAACAAAAGGCTTTGGTGGTGTAGGTATGCCATTCAGATTCTTGTCAATCAGTTCCAAGTGGTATTGGTCACACCAATCATTCCACAGTTTCTTATGCTCTGGCATGGATTCTTTTAAAGGAAAGAAAATATAAAAGGTTCTGTATACTATATGTAGTTATAATAGTGCATTTAATGTACTTTAAGTGGGGTAACTTGAACAACACTTACAAATACATTACAGAACGAGAATAGAAGATTAAAAAAACGGCACATTGGCCTTTTGGAAGCAAATAATTTGCGGTCTTAAAACAAGCATTAGAGGTAGTAAAGGCACAAACAAAATTTTATTGGGCGATTTGTCACTCATTGAATTTTTAGTTTTGTTCTGTAATGTGATTGGTTTGTGTGTGCGTTCAAGCAGTAGTTAATCTTCCACTTGTCTTACATAGAGAGAATGAAGTACCCAAAAAGCTCCGGACCCGTTTATATATGTCGTATAACACGTACAGCTGCAACAACTGGACCAAGCAAACAATTATTCATGTATAACCTATATCTTACCTAAAAATAGATCATCAGCTTTAATTGAAGTTATATCTCTTTGTGGCATCATCGACAGCTCATCAAATTATTTTCAATGTCCTTTATGTCTGGAATTATCACAGCTCGGCCAGTAAAATTCCACATTTTAGGACCTACATCTTCCATAAGTCGAAGATGACGTTTTCTACCCCGGTAAAGGTTGATGTTGTCCATGAGCAATAGGACTGGTGTTGTATCAGGACACTTTTTTGATAAGGTTTGTGGGAATTCTTTCAGGTGCTCATCAAGAAAATTATTTCTAAATTAAAATAACATTAAGCAACGATGTCACTTTCATTAAAAATATTTTTTTACTACATTGACTTAGTTTAAATTAAACATACTGGGAGATTCTATATATGAAAGTGCTCATTTGTAAGTTGCTGTACAACCTTCCAACATTCATATGCTATAATTCAACACATATTAGTTATATTAATATTTAACAAGAAATATAAAGCAGTCAAAGCAGGGTAAGTAAAACACATTCTGGTGTATAGGTCGCCCTTGACAAGTAACATCATTGAGCATTAATTAGATAATAGATTGAGAATAACAAAAAAAAGCCTACCAGGACACAATAGGGCCATTTATACGGGACAAAATAAGACGCGACTTACATAAGACGCGACTTAAATAAGACGCGAGTTTGTCGTATAAAAGGTACAAAATCTTATGTAAGACGCGTCTTGGATAAGACGTGTCTTACATAAGAACAGAACTTTTAGCTGTTCTTATTTAAGTCGCATCTTAAATAAGAAATTTTGGACAAAAATTCTAACTACACATGCCCGAAACTTGAAACAACGTAACATTATTAGCCTTGCATATTAAAACAAAAACAACTGAAATAACATTATAGCTATAGCAAGTAAATAAGAATATAAAGCCGTTGAGAACCATTTATGCGATAACTCCGCTTATATAAGACGCGTCTTATGTAAGTCGCGACTTATTTTGTCCCGTATAAATGGCCCTATTGTGCCTTAATGGGTTAATATTAATAATGATAAGGAAATTCTAAAGTCCAATGACCATAATTTGGTAAAAACAGAAGTGCACTGCACTAATCTAATAATAACACTTTCTGGGCTGTTCATTATAAAGGGGTTCCACCCAAAATAAATTTAAAAGGTATACTGTATTACCGGTCATCATGAAGAGTGGAATACTAAGTTTACCGGCCGGCAACAATATTTGCTAGGCAATGATGGGCGACCGGACTTGAGGCCTCAATTGTTCCACTACATTCCATTTGTTCCTGTTTGAACTGATTTGAAATGCAGTGGATCCCAATTTATACATTTTCCTAGCGTTTGCCCGAAATTTCCATGGTTTTCCAAATTTTTTTTGGGGGGGGTGGTGGTTGGCCCCTCTGCCCCCTCTGTCTTGTACGTCTATGAATCTAACATTTAAATTACTTTTCCTGGTATTGAAACTAGTGTATATACTATAATACATACAATGTATCCCAATGTGGAGTCAATCCAATAGCATTAAGGAGGTTCATGAACTGTTTTCCAGCACCATATGTAATGCAGACTAGACCAAGTAGTCACACTCTCTCACACTCGGTAATAATGCAAGAGCATTTACACCACATGTCAATTTATATTCTGCTGTTTTATGAACTCTTCTTCTAGAATCAGTGACTAAAAGTGTTTCTAGAACACTATGCAGAAGTGGACATTTCTCCTCAAAATTAAGCAACAAATCAGCAAAAATGTTCATATCACTAACACTTTCAACATGATCACCATCACCACCTGCTTTCAGCCCAATGCAACAGATATCCTCCATCACTTTCATTTCTTTTGCAATTTGTCCTTTTTGAGACAAATTTATTGGACCATCTCCCTGACTATCTTCAAGCTTTTGTATTTTATGTTGATACAAAGTAACCAATGCTGCATGGAATTTGAAATAATTTTGTAAGTTTAAACAGTGTTTAACTGAAAGTGTTTTAGCTAGATCCATATTACTAGCATCCAATGCTGAATCAATATTTTCTTCATCTTTTAATAAGCATTGTTCCATGTTTTTAATCTGATCTTGTATCACTAAGATGTCTTTGTTATCTTCTTTAAATAATTCTTTAGATACCAAAGGATTTGATCTGCCATATGATTTTATTAGAAGATTGGTATAAACAACTCTGTGGTGAATGTCAAGAAAAATATTATTTCGTGAATTTAAATAAATCTCATAAAATATGACATGCATTAAATTGGCACAAATTTTAAGAAGTTGAAATAACACATATAGATATAAAACATTCTGTATATATGTATAGCCTAGTAAGAACTATTAGCAAACTTACAACAATATTTTGGCACAACTTGAAAAATCATTTTAAAACTAATTATTTAAGATCAAAACTAATTATTTAATCATACAATAGGATACATTGATTCACGGTCAACCATAATGATCTTCTTGGTACTATTTGGAAAAGTCGCTTTAACAGTTCTGGTAAGGAGACTCTTTTCTTTAGGTTCCAGGTTGAGCATACCATCAACAACGATTGTTTGATATGTGCATTTGGATCTTCCTTGTACTGCACAAGGTATTCCAGCTCATTTGACAATAATTGCCTCCTTTCATTACACTGGTGACTAGACAGGTTATATGCTATAAAATACAATTGAAAACTATTGATCCTCCCTTGAGTAAAAATCATCTGGCATTAGACAGAGTAAAATAACAAAGTATTTCACATCACTGTTATAGTTGATTACCCATAGTTTGTAAACTCTGCATTTGATTGAATGGCTACAATTTCTCTAGTAGCCAATCTGATGTTTTATTATAAACTTTTGAACTTCACAACAACGCTGCAAAGTTTGAAACATTCTGGTGAAAAGTTATTTGCACATATTTTTTATTTGACAGTATAAATACTGACAGCTGTCATAGACCATGCACTTTCATAATTTAGACCATTACTGCCATTTGCGTTCAAGCTTGCAGCATGCGAATTTTTTCACATTTGTTTATGTTTCAAACGTAACGTTTCAAACGTTATCACGCCCGTTTGGCAGATGAAATGAAATCGTTTGAAAATATAAAATTATTGATTGTGGAAGCAAGAATATACTTTTATTTTTGTATTCTCGTGATTCTAAATACTGTACAATCAATTACTTACATTTTGTAGCTGAATTTCAGGGATTTACAGCATAAAAATGTACAAACGTCATTGGAATTTAACAAAACATGACATATTATGTAACAAATAATAACCGTTGCATGGTTCAAACGGTCACTTTCATTGGTCAAAAGGGCGTAATTACCGGGCTCCTGGAACGTTATGTTTAAAACGTAAACAAACGTGAAAAAATTCGCACGCTGCAAGCTTGAAGGCAAATGGCAGTAAATATTCTTTTATCACTTTTATGTCATCTTAATAATCCTTCTTGGCCTCATTTGTATGACTGGAAATGTGAAGAATATTTGAACCTAAACAAAACCAGGCTTATTAACTTAAAGATAAAAAAATTTAAATTAGTCTAAATTATGAAAATGGTCTACAGGAATGTGTCTATTTGTTTCAGAGATATAGTGACAAAGTACTGTTATATACATAAATTAACAAACCTGCTAATCGTTTGGGTTTAGACTCGGCAGCAGCTTTTGACTCGGGTGTTAGAGCATGTTTCTCTGCTCGAGTACGAATTGTCCTCGGGCTTTCATGGCAATCTTGTGGAGAATGTGGGGGTGTAGTTGGTATGTCATCATCACATTCTGCAAATTTGTTACATACAAATAAGCATATTGAAATATATTGCATTTTGAAATATATCAAATAATGAAATATTCTTACCTCTTATAATTATAATTAAGATTCTTTATAAATATAACGATGCAAGTATAGTACAGTATGATGGTTTCAATGAACTGTAACTAGGGGCTTAAATTAAAAAGCCTGTTAGGGTTCCTAGTAGGTCCCTAGCCCAATATTATTAGAAAATATTTGTAAATATTAACATAGCTGTACATAGGGAAAAATACATAAATAAAAATAAAAAATGGCATGATGGAATGTACATTATCAAATAAATATATAAACAGATAGGCTATGTATTAAAATTTAATACCATCAACATCAAGTTGCTGAAACGATATGTTAAGCTCGTCATCAGATAATTCTGCAAACAAAAGACATATGTTTGAGCTAATTTTATAACTTTAACATACCCATGAGTAGTGAGTACATCACAGTCTATAAATACAATCACAACAAGCGAATTATTTATACATTCCACGGCAAAATATGCCAATAAACTTACCTCCAGGCGGTTCTTCCTGAAAAGATTTGTCTATATTATCCATAGAATCAGCAATAACGAATGCCAGATAAAAAAAATTCCAGAAAAGCAGCTAAAACTTTGCAATATCTTCGATTCTTCAGAAGTCGGTCGAGATTATTCAGATATCGGTCAAAATCTCCCAGGCTCTTCCCTTCCTTGCCGCAACCTCCCCAAAAATCCCCGCGCGCCTAGTTGCTCACCCAGAGCTCTGAACGCTATTAATTACGAAAGAGCCTGGGTATGAGGCTGACATTGTTATACTGTATGTGTATTAAGGATGAGTTAGTTAATTAATTTTACCGTAAACTAGTTTACGCCGTCCTCTTTCTTGTTGTAACAGATTGCACAGTTTTCCAATTGTATAATTAAACTACGGTATCGTTGTGCCGCGCTGGAGTTCTGCTGGAGCTCTGGCTTGTGTTTTTTTTTGTTAACCGGAGCTGGAGTGGTTAGGGCCTTCTCCCAGCTCCGGCTAGAAAGTCAGAATGAAGAGAAATGTGACAATTTTGAATACTTAGCGTTGGTTACAAACAATGGCAACAATGAATTTGTTGAAAGTGCATAAACAGTAATCTGAAGTCATATATGCTATGTCAAACCATCTTGCGATTTTCGCTACTGCAAACGGTGAAATTACAATAAGTCATTATGTCTGTGATCTATCTTATCACAGAAACAGTTGTACAATTTTTGTTATTTTCTGGAAAATTTTTTTCATTTCCGAGAAAAATATGATATATCCGAAAATTTTTTTGATATTTATGAAAAAATGTGATATTTCCGGAAATTTTTTTTTGGTATGTTTGGAAAAAAATTTTGACACCTCAAAATCTGAGTTTCCGGGAAAAATTTTTTTGGGTATGTCCGGAGAAATTTTTTTGAAACCTCCCCCC